GACTTTAGCGGCCGCAAATCTATCATCTGCCGCAGGACCTAATCTGTCAAATGCTGAAGAAGAAAACGAACCGACAATATTCGATGAACTTAACCCGGATTGCATGAACGAATTGCTGGATTGGCTGCCATTGAATAGTTTGTGTGCCTTGTGCCAAACGTGCAAAAGTCTACGAAAAACCAGCAAAAATTATTTCCAATGGAAATATCCGTCGGAGGAGTTTACAATCGGTGATGAGATCGTTTTCAATGCACACCATTTGGAATGTTTCGGTGATGATGTTCAATGTCTACGGCTATACGACTCCGCCATTGATGACTTTGTATTCGCTGGATCGAATATAAATCGAAATCTACGGGAAATCCAGTTTGAGAAGACATACAAACCAGAAAATCGCATCACTAAAAAGCACATCGAGAGCATAAAACCAATTCTTCATAATGTAAAAACGGTTTCAGTTGTTGACTGTGATTTGAAAGAAGGTTATTCAGAGTATCTTCTCGATTGTTGTGCAAAAATTGAAGATTTTTCATTTCAAATGTATAAAGATTTGAATAAAAATCAAATCCAACTCCAAAAATATCCAACCATTCGAAATGTTGAGATTCATTTTCATGCTAAAGCCAATGCAACTGTAGGCATTAATGTGATCAAAGAACAAAATGTACAACTAGATGAACTGGTTTTGTATTTCTGCAAAGAGCATGCCAATTCATTATGCTCTGTTTTTACGGCATTGGATTCAATGTACGAAAGAAAATTCTTCAAGCGTTTGTACTTATCGTTTGAGAAAAAATCAATGGTATCGGAGCACATCCATAGAATTGCATCGCTTCAAGGTCTTGAGGGATTACTGTGTTCGTATACTATTAATACCACGATAGATAACCATATAGCCGATATCGCCCGATTGAAAAGTATAAAATACTTACAAATAAACTGGTTGCTGGTAAATGCTGATCGAATTGCACAAGAATTACAACAGCTTATCGAAATTGGAACCTCTGTGGTGTCAATCGATGCTATTGTTTCATTTGTTCGGTTTTCCGCAAAACTATCGCGATTTCATGTCGAAAAGATACGAACAAATAAAGAGAAAAGTCCAAAATTTGATGCATTCACTCTGAACAAACGACGATCAATGCTTGAATATGCCCGAAAATTGACCATTTACATTCCAGAAGAAAAATTCATTAAACTAAAATGGGGGTCGGTTAGAATGGACAGTAATTTGGTAGAGATAAAAAGAGAGGAAAGCTGCATTCAGCTGAAGAAATGTCAAGAGAATCTTGAAATGAAATGCTAAATTATGCACTGAATTGTTTGAAAACGGATAAAAAATAAATTATTCATGTTCAATTTCTATTTTTCTTTAATATTCTTCAATAAAGTTTATGATAAGAATTTTTTTTAACTAAGAGTCTAAATATCGAAATTTGTTGTGTTAAAACGTTAATACTTGAAAGACACGGCTTCCAACGATACAGTTTTTACGCAATTGAGTCATATTTGAAAGCCAGAGCCTGATTTGCTATATTACTTATTATTACAAATTATTTTCTTTTATAAAGAAGTAAACATATAAAACAATATTGAATGCGTACGGCGCATAAATTTGGGATGACATTACAAGTCTACAACGTAAAATTGCGTAAAATGATGAGAATAATATGAAATTAATGCGAACATTTGATTAAAAATGATTTTTTACGGCGATTATTAGGTTCGTCTTTTCACGGTCATTTCCGATTCGCTTCCAGTACTAAAAACTACGTTCCATGCCAGCTGTGTGCATTTCCAACGGAATAGCTTCCGAACGACAGCAGAAAATGTGTACTGGTGTACTTTGATCGCTGACAATTTGCTGCGTTTGGAAATGAGACGAATCAATCCTTTTGTCGTCATACGACGACCGTTGACCAAGAGTCGTTCCAGATTTGGTAACACGGTGAAAATCCTGAAGACATCTTCGTCCGATGGATACCATTCGTGTTCGCCATTCGGAACGATGCACAGCTCTTTGATGGTTTTGTGTCTGGCTACGAATGTTGTACATTCCGTATCGAATTGATCGAGAATGGAAAATTTGCGCAAGTTTTCAAATGATAGTGCCGCTAAATTCCGACCCAAATAGCCCAATTTTTGCATACGATTTACCTGTGTTGAAAGAGATCAGGCGAAAATGATCAAATTTTAGTAAAAAATAATAAGAAAAAGCATTCAAATTTATTATGAAACGATCAAATCAAATCGAAAGATTCGAATGAAAAATTGATCGAATCGAAGGGAAATACAGAATATCACAATACCAGCACAAGCTTTTGCACACTTGGGAACCGAATGTCACCATCACTCCAGAAGTCCGTGTATCGCATGTGCCAAAGTTGAAGTGACTTGAGTTGCGGTAGCTTATCGGCCGCATATTTCAACAGCTTTGCATCGTAGGCGCTTGCATTCCAATAGCGCAAATTCAAGTGTTTGATATTTGGATTACGATCGATTGCGGCTTTCACATTGGCAACGGTGAATGATGATTCGGACCAGCTGTTGGCGCCAAGCGGCACGTTCAAGTTCAAATATTCCAGCTGCGGAAATTCTCTGCCCAAGAAACAATTGTTAACGCAAATACAACCATTACCAAGCGTATGTAAACGGTCGAATTAAGGCCCGCGTTTGTGTGTAGTTTCAGTCATTTTTAACGTCACAATGGAAGTAGAAAAAAACGGTAAAAACAAATCAATTAGAAGGATATAAAAACGATTAGGAATCAATTGATAACAAAATAACTAATCACGTGTGAAACAAGGTCATAAATGGACCCACCTCGAGTATCATCCAACTGTACGCTTCACTTGAACTAGGTCCATTTATGACTTTGGTAAATATTGGTGTGGATATTGAAATTGACCAACTGACTGAGAAAATCTTACATACAACAACTTACCTACGGGTTTAACCCGTATTACATCGTGTATTTGCACACACATTTTAATGTACAAAGCCACAAAAATCAAGCTTTGAAAATAACTAATCGTTAATGTTTTATTTTATCCTCTTAATCTACGCTCTACTTATCATCGACAGCATTTGATTGGCCATCTCGATTGGCCATCTCGACATTTTGGCCATATCCTTTCTAGTGGTAACACAAATGATTCGTGCACATTCAAGTCGAAAACCATACAACGGCCTAGAATGAACGAATTGAACTCGAAATTGAAATACAATAAAACATGAATGTGATTGTATTGTGTAGATCACCTACCTCTGTACAAGATGCACTTCGCCGCACAGATGTCACGATGCCAAGTAGCAGTAAAAGCGTTCTGATCATTCATTGGGCTTGAGTGCCAGTTTTTCTGGAAGGCCCCAATAACCCAATTCCTTTATCAGTTGCATCGTAATGTATTCGCTGCCATAATTGTGGTTTGGCCTTACGATTTTTGACACGAATCTTGCAAATACTTGTGTCACCAATTTTATCAAAACCTGGCAAATCGGATTCCGCTTCCGGTTGTTTGATTACTTTACGACTGCGATGACCTGCAACTCGACGTCGTTGACGTAGTTCACGCCGTCGTATGCGTCGATTGTACCGTCTCACTGCCTGTTCGGTATCCAATTGCTCTGGATTGTGGCTTTCACGCTCACTTCGACGCTCTTCCCGGTGCTTCTCAGCTCTTTCGCCTCTAGTTACATTTGCTGTTGGCTTTTGGCTGGCATTTTATTTTCGATCACGTTGCTTGCGCCGTTTGCTTCGATCAGTCACGATAACCGGTGGGAGTCTCACATCCTTGTGTGGGCGACAATCTTTGCATACTTTGAATCGGTCACTTTTTGTGCTTCTTGGAAATCGCCGCAAGCAATTGGCACAGGTTTGTGATGTATACGGCTCTGGTGTAGGCACAACATCCATTTTGCCGTCCTTTTTTAGGCTAACTATGAACTTTCGCTGATCCGGTGTGAAAAGAACAAAACGAACACCGGATCAGCGAAAGTTCATAGTTAGCCTAGATTTTCGAATTTGATGGGAACGCCGCATCACCAAGGAACACAACTCCTGTCTCATTGTTTGTTATGTGTTTAGCCATCAAATCCATTTCGCGATTAGACTCGATGTACTTGTGCAACGATAGCTGTGCATATTTTCTTCTTGCGTATGTAGCCAATGAATCTGTCAGCATTTTGATTTTGTGCTTAATGAATGATTTCCATTGTGATCCTCGCGGCGATACGGATGTGATCGGATAGCTTTTCAAGTCGCACTGTTCTTTGTGCACGTACTTACTGGTCATTTTCTTTGCCTGTTTGTCGCGCATTCCTTGTCGCGCACCCCAGTGATATTGAATACTCGATAATTTGATGTTGGACTGTGAAATGAACAACAACAATGCAAATCTATGTTAATTTTCATATGATATTTCAACTTACCTAAATTCCAGTAGCGAGAGTCCGACGCACGCAGGCCATTTTTGTTTTCTGGCCGGGATCAATTCCTGACTCATACTTGTAACCGCCTTTGCTGACTGGCTTTTCGTACTTTGCCTTGATTTCACACAGAGACACGCCGGCTCCTTTGCGTTTGGGTCTGCTAAACAACACCGACACGGCACTACTGTTGGTTTGAATTTTGTGGTAAAACTCTTTCGAACCGGTTCTGAGTTGTCTTATTTTGTCAAATCCACCAACAATCACGCAACAGTCATCAAATCCAACAACAACCGCATCGACGACTAGACTCATTCCAACCTAAACAGCATCATCACCAACACAAATTAGATTCATCATCACTGGTAATTGGTTTGTTCAATCAATTGTTCAATGTGGTTGCGGGGCGGGCTTGACAACAACTTTTTCATTGCGATAAATACACATACATAAAGATAAAAAAAATCCACTACATAACTATTGGAGAGTCTGTTTAAAATGTTATTAAAGAAATTTTGTCTTAAAAGAACATATGCCCAGATATTGGGCATTTAAAATGGTGAATTTAAACGAAATAAATGAAATGAATGAAAATAATCGACCCACCAGCCAATGTCATAGATGAGTGAACCAAATTAAATCAAAATCAATGCTAGGATATGAGTTAGTAAATTCGATTCGATGCTTTATTTGTTTGCTAAGAAATGAAAACCCAATTTTATCGAATTGCAAATGTTTTTGTGTTGTTCAATCTTATAATCGACCGCATTCGAATCAGATGACTTTCGTAAGACCATTACTATTGATTAAAACAAAACATGAATATTGCAACTGACACAAACAGACACAAACACACACACACACAGAGAGAGAGCCCAACATTTAACCACCTTTTTATTATACTTAAGTTATTCTTCCTTTAATTTTCTTCTTAACTCTATCGTTTTTTTTTCTCTAGCTATTCATATCATTCAAATCAATAGATTAAAATTTAATTTACCGATTCGTATACAATTCGTATTGATGATGTATATATATATATTCAAAATGCAAGCAAAAAAATAAAAAATAAAAACAAGAAATGTGTTCGACTGTTATGAATAATGTATAACATGAAGTAATCGAAGAAGTAAAACAAGAATAAAGAGAAAACATTGTTAATGTAAAAACAATAAATAAAAAAAAATGCAAAATTAGATTTTTCCGAGAATGATACGTTTACTTTTATTCTGAACATGGAAAAAAAACACAAATTTTCCTTATTAAAAACTACACACAGTTGCTTTGTTGTTGTTTTTATTCGACTGAAATGTTTTTCAAAATTTTCACCATATTTTCGATCAGTTCAGCATTGAAATTGGACTCGGTGAAATGGTTCTCAAAGAGATTACACATTTCAATGTCGGTTTCGGCCTCTGCGATCAACTCATTGTCATAGAATGTCAACTCCTTGGCAAGATGTGCCAACATAATTGCCTGTTGCTTGTAAACCAACTCCAGTTCAGCAATATCCTCTTTGCACTTTCTTTCATAGTCGTCCATGTCGGGTGTGTTCTGCAGACAATTCTCGCTAATCGGTATACTCGGCGGGATTGTCAAGTGTTTATCGACGAGTGCGTGGATTTTCGACAGGAGTCGCACAGTTTCCGGTTTTATCAAATTCAGTGCATTGTTGCCCAATGATTTGATTTTGTTTGCTGTTTCGACGGTAAGTTCTCTTTGCGCCGCAACGATAACATTCTCTGTGAATTTATCCATCATTCGTTTGCAGTGCAACCGAAACAATCGCTCATCTGGTGGTGGTGGTGGTGGTGGTGACAGAAAAAAGAATCAAATTTATTGTAAAGGAAATCGTCTTTACTCACTGCAATGTGTCAAATATATGCATTGTGTACTTACATTCTTTCTTCAGCTCTTCAAGTGTAAAACCATAAAACTCAAATTCAGCTTCAATTTTTTCCATATCCATACTGTGGCTTCGAAATTTTCAGAATTTTCATTCAACATTTACTTGTCTGATTCAATTTCAATGAACAAATTTTAGATCCCAATTGTGATGTGATGTTTTTTGTTGAGTTGAGCGTCTATGCAGCTGGATGTGTTGTATTCGAATTTCAAAATGTCAACGGACGATTGGCTCAAATGTCAAACTTCGTGCATGACTCACGTGCACCATCTCACGTCCGCCTTGTGTCATTTTGACAGCAACAAATTGTTTAGATTTGTTTCTACTACACGTGTTGTATTCATCACAAGTCGCATTCAACATGTTTTAGAATTTTTGAATCGCATTTTATCAGCCGAAAATTAATTTTATTCTTGAATTTGGATATTTATTTGTGAACGCACAATGTCGCGGTTAATTATCAAAAATTTGCCAAATGGCGTAAGTGTTGCAATTCAAAGAATCTTTTTTTTTTCATTGAAGTTAATCGCTAAATTTCATTTCATTGTAGATTACGGAGAATCGTTTGAGAGAAATCTTCAGTAAAAAAGGTCAAATCACTGATATTCAGCTGAAATATACGAAAGAAGGGAAATTTCGTAAGTTTGGTTTCATCGGTTATCAATCGGAACAAGAAGCGGCAGATGCATTGTCACATTTTGACAACACATGTATCGACACGAGCCGCATCAGTATACAAACATGTGCGGCCTTAGGGGCTGAAACAAAACCACAAGCATGGAGTAAATATGCAAAAGATAGTTCAACGTATAAGAAATTGCATGGAATCGAAGACGATGAAGCTACAATGTCGAAACAGAAGGAGGAGGCGAAACTTGAGGAGAAGAAGAACAAAAAAGAGAGACTAGAAGAGATATTCGGCGAGCACAAAGATGATCCGAAGTTCATGGAGTTTTTGAAAGTCCACGATAAGGGAAATGACATTTGGGACAATGATCTCGGATTAATGGAGCAAACCGAAGATGATATTAAAGGAGGAAAGAAAAAGCCATCGACAGTTGATAATCAATCATCTGATAGTGATGATGACGATGACGACGAAAATGAAGCGGCCGACGGTGAAGACAACGACAACGAGGAAGAGATATCAGTGAAATTGGCTGATCAAAGTATTAGCGATTTGGATTATTTAAAATCGCTTAAAAATAAAACCGTAACGAAAAACGACGCAAAAGCCAGTGGTAATGACATGAAAGTAACGGATCTCTACACCATAAAAATTCGTGAAATTCCATTCAAAACCAAGCGAAAAGATATCATCAAATTTTTCAAACCGGTCAAAGCATTTTCGATTCGTTTGCCGACGAGAAAACACGGTTTTTGTTATGTTGGCTTCAAGACGGAGAAAGAATTCAACAAGGCAATGCTGAAAAATCGCAGTTTTTTGAATGGAAAACAGGTGATTCTGATTGATTTCACGGAGAAAAATAAAGAAGCGACACTGCGAAAGGACGAACCCGACAGTGCCAAATCGGAGAAAAGTAACAAGAATCCGAAATGGGCCAAACAGGAGGAGGCGCTCAAAAATGAAGAGGATATCAGTGAATCCGGTCGGATATTTTTCCGAAACTTGAGCTACACGGTAAACGAAGAGCAACTGCAGGAACTGTTTGAAAAATATGGTCCAGTGACCGAAATCAGTTTACCAATTGATCCGGTTACGCGCAAAATCAAGGGTTTCGGTACGGTTACATTTGTTATGCCAGAGAATGCCGTCCAAGCATTCTCTGAACTCGACGGATCGACCTTCCATGGTCGGCTGCTGCATTTGATTCCGGGCAAAGGCAGAGACGATGATGAGAACAATGCCAATACAGAGGGTATGTCATACAAGCAAAAGAAAGAGTTGGAAATGAAGAAAACGGCTGGTTCAGCCCATAATTGGAATACATTATTTTTGGGTGCCAATGCTGTGGCAAATACGTTGGCCAAAAGCTATCAAACGACAAAAGAACAAATTCTTGACACTGCTGGCGGTGGAAGTAGTGCTGCTGTTCGATTGGCTCTGGGTGAAACGGAATTAATTATTGAGATGCGTCGATTTCTCGAAGCAAATGACGTCGTTTTGGATGCATTCAATCAGGCACCGAAAAAACGATCAAAAACTGTCATTTTGGTGAAAAATTTGCCGGCTGACACGCAAATCACAGATATTCAACCAGTGTTTGCCAAGTTTGGTTTGTTAGGACGTGTCGTTTTACCACCCAGTAAATTTACAGCTATAATTGAGTTCTTAGATGCAAGCGAGGCGAAAAAAGCATTTTCAAAACTTGCCTACACTAAATTCAAAAATTTGCCACTCTATTTGGAATGGGCGCCAGAGAATACATTCAAAAGTGCTGCAACGAAAGCATTGGAAGTTGGTAAAATTGAGGAAAAGAAAGATGTTGATGCCAAAGCCTCGAAAACGAATCCATTCGCAAAGGAGAATTACGGGAAAAAGGAGACAAATGTCGCTCATTCCGAACCAGAGGAAGACCCAGTCGAAAGTTACGTGGTCAATGACATTACACCGTCTGATAATAAAAATAACAATGAAGAGAGTGATGAGGACGATACCGAACCTGAACCAGGCACCACATTATTCTTGCGCAATTTGAAGTTTATCACTCAAGTCGAAACCATTCGCGACCACTTTAAGCACATCGGAAAGATTCATCGTGCTCAAGTTGCCACGAAAAAAGATCCAGACAATCCACGGAATAAGATAGCGTTGGGCTATGGATTCATCCAATTTAAGAAGAAAAATTCAGCCGAAAAAGCACTGAAAACTATGCTAATCACAAATATCGATGGGAATTCCGTTGAGCTCAAACGAAGCGACCGTACATTACAGTGAGCATTTTTTGTATTCATTTTGATTTTTTTCGTGATTTTAATTTTCCTTCTTCTTTACTTCCCAGAACTGATGTACAAACGAATCGAAAGACTGCAAAATCGCTAAAACAAACCGGCTCGAAAATTTTAGTGCGAAATATTCCATTCCAAGCTAAAATTAATGAAGTCCGAGAACTGTTCAAAGCATTTGGTGAACTCAAATCGATTCGTATTCCGAAAAAGATGACACCAGGCGAAGATGCACACAGAGGTTTTGGTTTTGTTGACTACAATTCAAAGTCGGATGCAAAGGTTTGTGTTGAATATTGGAAGAATTTAATTTTTTGCTAGGTGCACAATGTGTGTGTGATATGCATCAACGTATGACATACCCTTTCAATTCAATCATTTTCATTATTCCTTACACTCACAATTGTTCCATTGAATATATTATTTTTATTCAATTTTTCGTGAACCATTGTCGTTACAGAAAGCATTTGATGCCCTCAGTCATAGTACCCATTTGTACGGGAGACGTTTGGTATTGGAATGGGCTGCTCCGGATGATGGCATCGAGGAATTGCGAAAAAGAACTGCCGAACATTTCAACGCATCACAGTCAGCCACAAAACTTAGCAAAAAGAGTGTTTTTGATGCTAGCAATGTTAAACAATTCAAAGAGAATAGTGACGAAGAAGAGTAGATTCAATTATGGCCATAATTTGACATTATGTTATCTTCTTTTGTATATTTTTATATATGCGTTAAATAAAAATTTAGACGTTTTTTTTTTAAATCATGGCTCGTACTCATGACCATGTTAATGGCAAATGATTATTTTTGTTGAATTAATCTAAGTAGTCAAAGCAATGATGCAAGCAATCATACTGAATATACCCAATGCTAAAGTATAAAAGCC